ACATAACAAAAGGCACTGAGCGCTTCAGCTCAAAAGTCTTTGGGCAGATTAGCATCGTGCAGATAAGTTTTAACCCCTGCCTGCAGGTCACGCTGCACAACTTCAACAAGCCCATTTTGCCAGGGACTTCGGGGGCAAGATAACTCATGAGTGGTCCCCTGCGCTTCCAGGAATTTCTCAAAATCCTCAGAAACAAATTCCCCGCCCCGGTCAGAAAACAGGTTCTTAATAGGTTTGTTAAAATGTGTTTTTACCCAGTTGCAAAAAACTTTGTACTTCTCAAATGCTTGGGACTTCTCAGCTATTGCATAAGTCCAACAATATCTACTATACTGGTCTATCAGGGTAAGCCAGTACTTAGAACCTCCTAAGGATGGTGGGAGTGGCCCAACTAAATCACAATGTACACGCTCAAATGGCTCAGTTACTTTCCTATCTGAGCACCTACCCTTGCGTGCAACCTTAATCTTATTCTTGCAACAGGATAGACATTGCATAAAGAATTTACATGGTTTTAAGTTGAGGCCATTAACAATATTCTTGGTCTTAATTACATCAGCAAAATTCAGATGTCCCAGAATTCTGTGCGCCTCATGGACACACCCAGAATGTGGCCTTACATTCCTCAACCCCTGGCTTGACTGTGCTGCTCTGCAATTTATAGGCGATTGGGAGTAGGTGCGAAAATACAGTCTATATAAACCATCAGATTCCCGGGCATACAATAGACGTTTGTTCCCCTCAAAAAACTCACACATTGAATTTAAGAAACGCACAGTTATGCCTTGACGAGCAAAACACCTTACTGACAATAAATTGTCCACTGACGGGCAGTAAATGCAGTTCACTATAGTAATGTTTAAAGAGTCAAGTTTAACAGTACCCCTGCCAAGCGACTGCAAGACTTGTGAATTGGCTAAATGTACATTACCAATTTCCTCTTCGAAAGAAATAAACAAGCTTCGATCGTTGCAAACGTGCTGAGATGCTCCTGAGTCCACAATAAAATAATTCCACTTGGCACCTTTAATTCTTTTACGATCTCTTGTGCTAGCGTGAAAAGCTCGCGGCTCATTTCTGTCTTTACGGTACGATGTCAGCTGCTGGGCTGACGACCGTGACTGACGAACAGAAACAGTCTTGGGAGTTCTTTGCTTTCTTTTGGCTCTGCAGTCCTTTGCAAAATGTCCTTGCTTATTGCAGAACCAACAACGCTTTGCAGCTTTAAATGCAGTTGTATCACCACAAGTTTGCATATGGTGTTCCTCATTCTTTCTGGAAACAGGAGTGCTTATGGCACAAGCCTCCCTTCTGTCCAACTCGCCCATTAATCTTGCCGTTACCCTTCCACAGTTAATTGTGCTGGTGGAACGGCAGATATCTGGCTAGCTATACCATCAAAGTCCTCATTAAGGGAACAAAGGATGATGAAAACATACTGAATATCAGGTATCTCCATGTCCCTTCGAATTAATTCGCCGCGTATTGCCTCCAGACGTCTCAAGTGTGCTGCCAAATCACCACCAGGCTGCAACTTCGTCTGGTACAACTGCTTGAAAACGTCAATGCAGACGCTGACTCTTTTCTAACATGCACTGCTGCAAGACTGTCCCACATTTCTTTGGCAGTTTTCTTATTTCTTATATAGACTACTTGCTGGTCGCTGACTGCCAAATTAATTATCGCCCTGGCTTTCGCATCTCCTCTCGACCAAGCATTAGTCACAGGGTCAGGAGGGTCATCAGTTACATAGGTCCATACTTCTCTAGAGGTCAAAAGCGCCTCCACCCGAAAAGACCATAAACTATAGTTCTCATCTGTCAGCTGTGGGAAGACCAGAGCCTTCTCAGCTTCAGGAACCCAGTCAACCATTCTGGAACTCTTCCAGACCCACAGAACTACGCTAACAGGAGAAGGAGTTTTCAAACCTTTCTCAGAGTCCAAAAATATGCAGTCATCCACTCAGCAGCTGGGCCCATAACCAAAGATGTTGGCTTTTGCAGTATGGTAGCGCTGCAGAGAGCTTGCTGGGGAGACCATGCATTAAAAAGGGACTCAAAAATAATTTAAACAAGGTTTTAATAAGAAAAACAAAAACTCCTTTTACACTAAATACATTAACAAACAAACATGACCCAACCACCAACCCATCCCCCAGAGTAATGGGAGAGCTAGCTGCTGCTCCTTATATACTTCACCCAATTGCCAACACAGCTTAATCAGTACAACTCGGCAGCACCTGCTATGTTTCACAGCTGTAAAGCTGGGTCTCGTTATCTTGCTCTGGCCCTTGCTCTGGCCCCTTAAAGACATACACATCGGGTGGAACAGTGATGAACCTTTACATTTAAAGAAACCATTCAACAGAAATATCCTAACATCCTCCCCCTTTCCGTGTAACCTGTAGTACCTGTGGTTCAACCCAATTGCAACCTTTGTACATAAACCTGGTAGTTGTTGTTCTCTTTGACATCTGGTGGGAGATACATAAAGTTGTACATAAAGTTGTTCTCTGTTAACAACCTTAGACAACAGATCAGCAGGAATTTCATTTCCTGGCATGTAGGACACCTGAATGAGTCCTTTCTGAATACACTCTCTTGCACGATGTAGCTTAATCTGCAAGTACTTGGTTCTTTGCTTGCAACTCTCTGAGTTCAGCAAAGCCAAACACGATCTATTGTCTTGATACACTTGTACAAGATATTTTCTAGAAGCTCATGTCGCTGCGTGCCTACGGGAGGTCGATGGATAGTCCGGCAGACGGCTTGGGGGCCTTGATGGACTTTATCTCCCTGGCAGTATCCCAACAACAGGTTTCGGGCCCAGATTCACAGCACTTACAGGAGAGTAAGACTGCGACAGACTGCTGAAAGGTATGTGGAAGAAAAGCGAAAGTGAGGCTTTTCTGTTTGCCGCGGCAAGGGCCTGTCAGCAGTCTGTCGCAGTCTTACTCTCCTGTAAGTGCTGTGAATCTGGGCCCATAACCTGTTGTTGGGATACTGCCAGGGAGATAAAGTCCATCAAGGCCCCCAAGCCGTCTGCCGGACGATCCATCGACCTCCCGTAGGCACGCAGCGACATGAGCTTCTAGAAGATTTCTTGCCACATTCCAGAGCTCATGCACACTCTATCAGCAGATAATGCACAGCCAAAAGTTGCACTCAGGAGAGCATTATTTACAAGTTTATTCAGCGTTGATCAGAACACAGAAAAACATGACGGCCTGCTTTAGTGTCTGCGACACAGAGAGAAAAAACGAAAGCAACAGAAAACATAAACATCCTGTGAACAGGAAATACGCAGACTCTGTGACTCACAGCCTGCTCCCTTTTAAGGTGGAACGGAAATATCCTAACAGTAACATCTGGGCCAGTGTACAGTCTCAGTCTGTGTGGAATAGACACGGATTTGTTGTGGATGCTTTTTTTGATCCATGGGACAAAACAGAGGGTCATAGTCCTTGGGACACAGTTGAAGCAGAAATAGACAATAAGAGAGAATTACATGGAGACTGTATTGGCCTTGGGTTTAGGAGTCAGAGCTGTCTGTCATTATTACAAAGTTCTAGGGAACACAGTACAAATCTGCTGTCGTGGAAACCATTTACAATAACAAAATCCAAAGAAACAAACAAGCTGAAACAGAAAGGTATTTGGAGCAGCCATGTTGTGCTCAATTCTGAAGTCTGGCATGCTTTCTGACCACTGCAAATGCCATGCCCCAGTCATATTCTAATCTGCTTTTCCATTTTCATGATTCTTATTTTGACTTTCCTCCATTTATCTCCTCCCCGTTTTGTGTTAGCCCATTAATTGGATAGGCATAAGTTATACTGTTGTTTCCCCCAACAGAGAATCAGAGCTCAACATATCTCTAAAAGGGAATAGAATGCAACCAAACCTGGTTGAAAAGCCTGGACCACACAAGAGCCTCTTGGTCAATGGTGAATTTTGGGCCTGAGGATCCCCGTCTGTTTATGCTCCCAAATTTCACGGCACAAAAGGACTTGTTGAGAAATGGCACCCAATTCACAACGTCAGATTCGACTGTCAAATGCCCATTCTCATCCAAATACACTCCTTCCACAGAAGTATTGTAAAACTGAGAGCTGCCCAGGAAATGGTGAAACTAGAGTAGCAAAGAAAACATGCACATTTTTTAAAAAAGAAAACCATCTGAATAACCTGGCCTAATTAATGAAGGAGTTAGTAAAGACTGACACAGGGTGTGTGTTTGGGCAATGGATCTGTGGCCCATTGTTTCTGCTTCAGCCTTTTGGGACAGATTAAAGCCATGAGATGCGTAAGTTTCATTCCACACTCGTGGAAGAACTCTGCATGCATAAGCTTCCTATTTGTCAAAGTAAGGTTGTTGGGAGTGGTGCGTAGACATTAGCTTCCTTGCTACTAATTGCAGGAAGCCTTGCTAAGGGATCATGTGTCAAAGTGGAGGCAGATTGTCTTCTCAAGAGCAAAATTAGGATGTGGGTAACAGTACAGTAAATGGAGGAAGCTGAGCCAGTGTTGAGGAGAACCCGATTTAACCCGATAATGGAATTCAGGGTACTGATCCCTGTTATCAGCAGATCGGTTGAGACCACTGCAGTAATCAACAACGAAAACAAAAACAACTGGCTTTGAACAGGTGATTGTCCTGGTCAGCAGAGATATTGGTGAGGTAAAAAGGAATACCTGCCCAGACTGTATCCTTTGATATTTCAGCCTCTTTTTACCCTTCGCCACCATTTGATTTGATGTGGAGGACAGCGCAGCCCTTATGGCCCGTGCCAGAGCAAGGACAAGGTAGTATATACTGTAGTTATCCAGAGACAGGGTGTTCTCAATTACTTTGTCAGGCAAGGACTCCAGAATGTCATTTTCCCTGCACCTTTTCCTTCCTTTGACAGACAGTATGTGCTTTGAATATGAACACTTAAATGATTTCTCCCCGAACTGCAATATAGGATATAAAAACGTGCCATAATTATCATAGTTTGGCCTTCTTTTAATACGAGTTAAGAAAGAGAAAAACCCATGAATGTGCAGGGGAGAAAGAATATTGTAAGACAAGTTCCCAGTGATGTTCCACAAAGCTGTTGTGATCCAGATTTTCCCCACAATGGGTCTTACATGCTTTTCAACTATGAATTGCAAAATAGATATTGAACTATAGAAGTAACGATTCTCCCCATAGTAGACTAATACATTGACTTTGTTCCACATGAAAAATGTTTTGGAAGGTGACGGTATTTCCATATCCTGTACTGGGATGCTTAGTGAGAAGGCAGCACAAATTGTGTTCCTGGTTAGCAGGGGCCTAAAGGTCCTCATGAACCTCTCTCCATTGTTGGTGTCTGGAGCAACGAGGCCAATCCAAGTCCAGTTGAAGTGCAGGAGCAGTTGGACTATCCCCAGGTACTGATGTTCCTCTTTGGGGACCATTCGGTAGACAAAAGGGAACTGAGTTTTGTCATTAAGAGCATCAGAAACAAAACCGTAACTGACCTAGTAAAGAACAGAAGAGATTATTGCCTACAGAATCCCAAACATAGTACTTTATATTGGCCTGAATGATAACTTTTCTCTGACATTGAAAACAATATCCCAGGGGAGCTTAACAATATACCATATTTCGACTTCCGGGTTGGCGCCACCGGCAATGGCGGAATTCCTCTGATTGGGAGGAATTTGCCTCGTGGAAATTTGGGTCTGGCCGCCACGGCGAAGGTGGAGACCCACTAAAAATCACAGGCGGTTGAAGCCTGTGAACGTAGGATTCGGCAGGCACCTTTTGCGCCTCCCCTACTCGCAGGGAAACCCGGTTTCGGGGATCCGGAGCGATGTGGGGTGAGCGGCACGGTGCTTTGGATCGAAGCGAAGCCGCATAGCTGTTGCCGGAGAGCGCTGACTTTTTCCTGTGGACAATTTGATTTTAAAGCAACTACCCGTGAGTAGAGTGAAGAATTGGATTTTTAAACGTTTTAATTTGGCACCGAAACGGGGAGGTTCAAAACAGGAAGTCCACCTCCCCTTTTTGTAAATAAGACTGAGGCAAAGAGGCTGTAAGCTAAAGTCTTGGAAAGCCCATTGTAAAGGACTAAATTCTCATCAGTAAAAAATATTAAACCCCCCTTGGAAGCAGGAGAAGAGGGGGGAGGCTTTGGATTGTATATCCCTGCAGGAGTGAGTGAGGAAGTTAAAATACCACCGTCCCGAACCTGGAAACGGGCTGCCAGTAAAATCGACGTGCCTTGGAAGGTTCATTGACAGCGAATAGAACGATCGGTGACAGCTAGCATAAAAGAGATACATTGTTTCCATTGTCTTCGTCTGCACTTAAAAAGGAATAAAGTAACGGAAAATTGAAACAACCTTACTGAACTTTATTAAAAAAGGAGGAAAGTAACTGAAAATTGAAACTAATTTTGGATTATTGAAACTGTGTTTAAAAGAGGACATACTGACCGATACAAATACAACTCGCTTTCCCCTAGTGGAAGCTTTTGAAATTGGTTACTTGATAGGAGCTGGGCTAGGGGATTTTCCAGCTGCAAGATAAGAAAGTGTGAGACTTTGGGATTGACCTTGAATCTTTTGAGTGTTATGGCAAACGGAAAGGAAAAAATTGACGGGATGTTGACAGAGGAGGCCTTAGTGGCTGCATTATTGAAAATAAACGATTCGCTGGAACAATTCCAAAAGAAAATAGATGCGAGAAATGTGAAATTGGATGTTGCAAATATTGAAGTTGACTCAACTGTAGAAAGCTTAAATAACTTGGGACAAAAGGTGAATACTAATTCAGAAACCACTCAGAAACTGACACAGGAATCTACTTTGATATGGCAAACTGCAGATCAGGGGAAAAACCCTTGCTGCTGAATCTAAAATAATACAACTGGAGAGGAGAGTCCCATCCATACAAAGACAACCTGACGAACATAAGTTGACATTCGTTATGATTGAACTTAAAGAAGAACGGAAGAATTTGAGGACCAGAGCCTTATCTGAATTGGAAAAGGAAAGCTTGACAGAGTTTCAGGAGACGATACTAACATTGGTTAAGAAAGAGAGGTATTTGGGGGTTGACATGACTGCCAAAAAATGTGAATCTGCTTAAGGATAACTGTGAAGGATGTTGGATTGAAGAGAAGGGGGATTTGGAAATATGGACAAATCAGAAGTTGTCACTGTTGGGCCGAGTTATTGTGGTGGGGATGAGGGCTGCTGTGTTGTCGGGGATGTTGCTTTTGTTTCAAACACTGCAAGCTTTGGATGGGATGGAGGGTTTCAGGAGGTGGCAGAGGGATGCTCCTAGAGTTGTGTGGCAGGGCAGGAAGCCTCGAGTAAAACTTAAGATATTGATGGATGCCAAAGAAGGAGGAGGACCCGCCCTGCCAGACCTTTAAATTTTGCTGTGAACCATCTGCTTTTTGCTGGTTGAGAGAATGGTTGTTTTTTGAAAACATTGAAGCGTTGGACAATGGCAGATGAAATTGATGGACTATATGGAATTGGCAGAAATGACTGGCAAGATCCGAGACCAGGGTGAAGAGTCGGTGGAAGAAGATTGGAAAAAGTTTAAAGACCATTTATATAGATATTGTAAATTAAGGAATGTTAGAAAAATGTTGGAATGAAATTATATGGCTTTAGCAGAAATGTCATAAGGAATTAGGTATAAATTAATCATAAGGAATTAGGTATAAATTAATAGAATAATTAAGGAAAAGTATGGCAAGAATGTGTAAAGATAATTATAGAACAGAAAACAGAGTAAGATGGAAAGGAATTGCTGAAACAAATAATAGAAGTGGAATACAAAAAGGGAGGTGGGAGGAGGTCGCTGGAAATAAGTGAATGAAATATAAGATATTGAAAATCTTTGAGGTGATTTTAAACTGTTTTTGCTTGTTTTTATTTTTATTTTTTAGTTCATGTAGCGTTTTTGTATTGTATTTGCATTGTTTTTTCTTTTTTGTTTTTTCTTTTTTTGTTTGTGTTGGAAATGTTAAAAAAGTAATAAATATCATTTAAAAAAAAACAATATACCATATTTCATTGTTTGCTTTCAAAAAAAGGTGACAGAGTCTTTGCAATGTGTTGTGTTTGCCCTGATGGCATTTTTGTTATTGCTTTTACAACATGTTTCTTGTAGCAAATTTATCTAATTGTATTATATGATTTAATCATTATTTATTCATTAAATCATCAAAATTTATGAAAAATAGATACTGTTAAAAAGGAAAAAGCTCACACACAATCACAACGACCATTTGTAGCTCACATTAGACCTATAATAGCTAAAGTATCGATTCTCCACACGAGTCAGTTTCGTGTTTGGAAATTGGTTTGGAAATTTATTTTTACTAGACATTATATTTCAGATCTTTCTAGGCATTCCTTGAAGTATTGCAAAACTCAACAGTTATCCCATGTGTTGGAAAGGATGTTCCACTACAGGGACATATCAACACATGTGTTTGGAGTGTCACAAAATGAAAAGTTGTGGGAAAATGTGTTTACAGAATTATCCCTTCTTCTAAGGCAGACAGAACTCATGACCCCAGGACTGGCTCTGTTTAACTTGTATAGACACGATATGTAGCAAATTAGAAACCAAGTATTTTGCCTCTTGTTTATTGAATGTTTCCTTTTGCATAATTGCTCATGTATATCACACATGGCACTAGCTTTTATTACTTATTTATTTATTTATTTATTTATTTATTTATTTATTTATTGTTATTTCAGTTTTGATGGCTAGGAATCCACATAACTGAAATATTCCATTCTCCTGCATGAATTTTGACAATTTCCTCCAAGACCCTTCTCCATAATTCACACCATTTATACCTGTGGGATCTTGAAGACTCAACTAAGGGCTTATCCACACTTCCCCATGTCCCATTGCTTTCCTTGGGCAAAATCACAGATTGGTGCTTTTTTCTGGTTTAGAGGGAAAGAACAGATTTTCTGTGGGAAAGGAGTAGGCTAAGGGGGAAATTCTCAGATCCATGCCAAAAAACCACAGGGCAAATGGAAAGCCACTCAGACCTTTGCTTTCTAAGTGTGGATGAGTCCAGAATCTCCTGAGTCATCTTTGTTAAGAGGGGGTTGAGGCCAATCTCTCCTTCTGCCTTAGAATCATGAACAACATTTTCACATCTTTCCAAAGAAATTGCAATAACATTCTGGGACTTTTCCTTCCCTCCTGACATTCATACCTGTGGGGTTTTGTAGATGCTTGACATGGTGGAAATATCTTTGGATGTGTCAGTGTCAGCCCCTTCAATAACTGCCAATACTTTATTCCATGATCCACAGTAATAGTTTGGGATGTTTGCCTGCCCAGGACAGAGCAGGTCCACCAGGGCACCAGAAGTCATTCTGGCATCATAATAGTTGTCATAGATGTCATAGCCCAGGGTGAGGTTGGCGGAAAGCCTGTGGTTCTGATTAACCTCCCAAACGGCAAACAAGAAGGACAGGATATGCCAGTCGGCCCGGACTCCTCTCCTGGAAAAAAGTGTGTGTCATCTTGACATTCTTTCCACACAAAGACCAGATTGTGTCATCCTTACCTGTGACGGGGGGCAAAAATCATGAGATGCTTCTGCAGCATCTGTACACCTGAGATCCATAAACCGCTTCCTGTTCAAATATTAGAAGAACGGGCTATTCTAAAGCAAAGGTCTCACTAGTGTGGGTGAAAGCACACAGTTTGCAGTAGATGACTTTCTGACATTCAAAACAAATCTGACCATTTCCCTCCAAAAGGCTGAAAATGGAAGACATGATTTACCAAGCAAAAGTACCAGAAATGAGGATACCAGGCAACAACATTTGGTCTCGATGAGGTCACATTCAGTTTGCATAAAGCTTTTACAACAGTAGGCACAAAAGGACTTACCCATAAACTCTGGTAAAGGGAGGCTCATTGAAGACGCTTGGCTTGAACACAACAGGTACTGCAGATACAACCCCGCTGATGTGGTAGTCTCCTGGCCTGAACCAATTCAAGGGTTCATTTGGATCCCTTATCAAAGTCAATGGGCATTTTGCTTTTGGCACGCCAGATTTTACTTCAGGTAGTAGCAACTGCAACCACAGCAGAAGCGGAAGAAGCCGACACATTCTGGGTCTGCTTGCTACCCCTCCCTTCCTATAGGCTGCTATCAGCAACAGATCTATCAAAGTACTAGCAACCAAAAGCCCAGCTGCCATGATGTAATCAAAGAGAGTATACGTGGCTTGAGAGACAGCAAGGGTTCATTTGAGCCTCACAAAGGCAGCATAGGTTGCCCACCCTTGGGGGCCCAGGAGAGAGGTATTTATGTCCACTTTCTTTCAGGCAAAGTTTGTAGAACTTACATTGCGTTCCTTGCGATTGGACTCTAATATGACCTTATTTCAAGGGTGCTGGTGGGGAGTCTCTTGAGCTTTGGTAAGAAAAGGAGTAAATCACCATTATTTTAAATAATTGTGAAGGAGAGGATTGCCTCTGCAGCCTCCTGGACTCTCCTGGTGGATCCAGGTGCAGAGCGGGAGAAAAACATGTTTCTGTGAACTTGTCATTGTAGTTCTACATTGTGACATGGGTCAGAAATCGGGCAGTGGAGCTTGGCACGACCTATCACAGTGTCTCTGAAAGAGTCAGCCAAGGACCATCAGTGGACATCAGTTCCACAGCCCAACCAGTACCTCCTGACTCCCCCATCTGTGACCATGCATAGTCCCTTTGCCTAGACCAATGGCAGTACTGCCAGTTTAAAGTATGCTGAATACAGGTTTCTAGGAGATAAGGAAGTTCAAGGGGGAGGGATAGAGAAGGAAGGGATGTTCCACTCTTCTGAAGGCCTAGGGCAAGAGAATGTGTTGCGTGAAATTAGGTTGAGAGATGTAAGGTTAATATCTTAAATCGTCATCCTAATAACCTGGCAATAGAGAGGAAAGAGATAAGAGAGGAGAACTGTTATAGGAGGAGGAAGTGAATGTAAAAGGAGTGGGGAGGATGTATGGAAGTTTTTGGAGTAATATGATAGAAGCTGTGAAGGGAGGAGGGAAGATGAAATGAGAGAAGACAAGTAAAATGAGAATTTTGGAGGTATATAGAATAAAAAGCAGGATAACAATCTCAGCATTCAAGGTATTTGAAAGGAGAAATGAAGAGAAATGAAATACTGAATGAACATTTGGGGAGGGACCATGGCTCTGGGCTTAGACTCTTAGAGTGCATGATTTGCATGCAGAACACTCCGTGTTTCATCCCCATAATTTCCAGGTATGGCTGGAAAAGGGCTCCTGCCTGGAAGTCTGGAGAGCCACACGCAATCATTGTGGACCAGGGATCTCCAATGCTCCTGATGTTTTTGGACTTGGGTGCAGAGACCCATGGTGGGACAGTGTTCTCGAAGCTACCAGCATGAGTTTGACCAAACTGTGGGAGGCAGTGGAAGACAGGAGTGCCTGGCGTGCTCTGGTCCATGGGGTCACGAAGAGTCGGACACGACTAAACGACTAAACAACAACAAGCAGAGACCCAACATTTCCCACACTTTGATCCTCTGTGTGTTAATGGTCCAAAGAAATGGCCTCATGTTTCATCAGTTCATTGTAAAATTGCATATCATTATATATATATAATTGCTCCCTTCTGTTGTTGTGTTGTTGTTGTTGTTGTTTTATTATTATCATATATATATTATTCAAAGGGACATTGGTGGCGCTGTGGGTTAAACAACAGTGTCTAGGACTTGCCAATAGAAGGTCGGGGTTCGAATCCCTGCAACAGGGTGAGCTCTTGTTGCTCTGTCCCAGCTCCTGCCAACCTTGCAGTTTGAAATCACATCAAAGTGCAAGTAGATAAATAGGTACCACTCCGGCGGGAAGGTAAACGGCGTTTCTGTGCACTGCTCTGGTTCACCAGAAGCGGCTTAGTCATGCTGGCCACATGACCCCGAAGCTGTACGCCGGCTCCCTCAGCCAATAAAGCGAGATGAGCGCCACAACCCCAGAGTCGGTCACAACTGGACCTAATGGTCAGGGATCCCTTTACCTTTATATTATTCAAAAGTTACAATACAGTTCTCTCCACTGCTATAATATCACATAATGATCACTCTAATCCTCAATCCCATTTCACTCGTTGACTCACCAGATAACCTCACAAGGAACCCAAACACAAATCTGGTTGGCTCCCTTCTCAGCATGATTGGTTCAGAAAGGGCCAGTGCAAGAGGAAGCTGCTGTGGGCACTGCTGGGCTGCAAGGGCTGGATGTCCCTGTTGTCAGACATTTTAAATGTGTTATAACATGGTGACACTAGATGGTGCTGTGGAGTTCCAGCTTTTGCCAACGTGTTTTCCCATTGTGATGTTTACAACATGTTTTCCTGAAACCCCTTTTTGATGTGTCTAGATCCAATCTAGAGAGGATATAATGCTTAGTTATGCTCGAACAGCAAGGATAATGTTGTGTAACAATGTTCTAACAGGGGTATCCACAGACAGCCGGCAAAGCAAAAAAAGTACTAGACAAACTGATTTGAAAGGTACAAACCAATTTTAATAACTTCCTAATATCTCTTTGCATATTTTGAAATTATCCAGCATATCTTGGGCATCACTCATGCCTATTCTGTGTCAACTGCTTTAAAAATGTTTTGCACCTTGTGCCACGTAAAGAACACCCATGGCACCAAAATTCAAGGTGACTCTCCTGATATGCACAGCAGCAATAAAGAGATACCAATGGAATATGGTTCTTTTCATTTTGAAAAACAATGCATAAGCAATTTGTTTGTAATACTATCTAAGAAATTTTTATTTTCTTAATGAACAGCATTGATTATTATTGAATTGTGATAAGGATTTCTTATTAGGCAAAATATAGAGACACCTCAGAAAAGAATTCATAAATAAGGTTTAGCAGGATAAAACTGAATGGATGGAATATGATTCAAATGATAATTTTGTGTTCTGATTCCCAAAACAATAGCTTTTAAGGAGCTACATTCCCAACTCATGTGTCCTGCCTTTATTGCTACCATGCTGGCTATCAATCACAAAGACCAAAAACATATTTTAGGAATCAGGTGCCATATTAAGTCTTTGTAGTCAGGTGCTCCTTTGTATTCAGACTAGGCCTGAGTACAATAATGTAGCACTTGGGAAGGAAGATGCAGCCCAGAAGTCCAGCACTGGAGGCCAACATAGAGAAGACCTGTACGGCTACCATGTATTTCCCCTTTGTGCTCAGGTAGGTGGGCACAAAGGACACCCAAACACTGCAGAAGACCAGCATGCTGAAGGTGATCAGCTTGGCTTCATTGAAGGCCCCAGGCAGCTTCCTGGCTAGGAAAGCCACTGTGAAGCAGATGGCAGCCAGGAAGCCCATGTAGCCAAGGACAGTGTAAAAGATGGCAACAGATCCTTCATTGCATTGCAGGATGACCTCTCCAGCCTGGGAGTGCATGTCAGAGTCTGAGAATGGAGGAGAAGTACCCAGCCAGATGACACAGATGAGAATTTGGATACTGGAACAGGAAATGACAATGGAATTAGCCAGACTCTTTCCCAGCCATCTCCTCACCCTGTTTCCTGGCTTAGTGGCCAGGAAGGCCAGCACAACGGTTATAGTTTTTGCCAACAAAGAAGAGACAGCAACTGAGAAGATGATGCCAAAGGCTGTCTGCCTGAGAAGGCAGGTCACTTTCCTTGGCTGGCCTATAAACAGAAAGGAGGACAAAAAGGAAAGGAGGAGGAAGACAAGGAGGATGTAGGAAAGGTCCCTGTTGTTGGCTTTGACTATGGGAGTGTCAAGATATTTAATGAATATTCCTAAAACAAGGCCTGTGATTAAGGCCAAAAACAGGGCAGTGGAAGCCAAGAGGGTCCCCAGATATTCATCATAGGACAGGAAGGTGATAATTTTGGGGATGCATTGATCTCTGTCCTTGTTAGGGTGTTGATCTTCTGGACATTTGGTGCAGTGGTCTGCATCTGGAAAAAGAAGAGTGTCTGCTTGAACATTTTCCTGTAGACTAGCAAAAAAAGCAAGTCAATTTTGAATCCAGCCAACTCCCACAAATGGAAACAGTGATGGGACTTGCTATTTCTGCTAATCAACACAAAGTTGGTCCTTTCCATGCAGTTCCCTAGTGCAGATACCCCCTTATTCACCCCCCAAGGAAGAGTTTGGAGTGTTCTAGAAGCTCCAGGTTATTAATTGCAGCTACATCTGATCTCACCCCAACACCAGGTGTTGTCAGATGGGTGTAATTTACAGAAAAAAGTACCTTGGAGGAGCATGGACTGGAATTCTGGTCTTCC